TTGATACAGGTGCATACTCCTAGTTAGGTTTTCAGTCTTGTCTACCTATTAAGCTAGGCTGTAGTTCATTCACAAAAACTCAAATATAGAAGCAGGGAATCCTTCTCAGGCCACATTTAGTTCACTTTAACAACTCCCTGCTTTTGGTCAGTTTCTCAATTTTGAGAGATTGACCAAAACTTTAATTATCAATGTCACTATCACCATTGTAAAAGTAGTTATTTGGTCTTGAAACACACTGGGAAACAGTGTGTTTTGTAGATCACTGAGTTTTGCAAAGGTAAAAACAAGTATGAGTAGAGGTACCCTTTATGGGTATCTCTTTATGCTGGAATGTCCTATTTACTGGAGAAAAACAAAACCTGGTCTGTTCTAGGATCTATGTGTTTCCGTAAAGTCTTAATTTGATTATGTCACATTTAGCATGAGTGACCCTATTTTAGTTTGGTTTGGTCTGTTGGGGGCCTAGTGAATGAGCTTAGTCCAAAACAATGGCCTCCTATAACTTTGTTTAAAAAAGATTCCCCCTTTTTGGTCAGGCTCTCACTTAGGTAAAAGTGTGACCACAATTGAGGGCCTTAGTGCCACTCTCAGTTACCATCATTTTGGGTTTCCAGTCTCACCACATCATTCATAGGTTATAGTATCCTCAGGGTCACACATTTCTTTCACCTCATGTCTTTCCATTTGAAGAGAGATCATTTGACATTCTAGAGATGGCTGCATACAAGCATTTAAAACCTTCGAGAGAATACAGTGCACCAGGAAGACTATCATTATGACTCTCAGGAGGATAATACCAAGAGTTTAGAGTATGCTCCTCACCCAGGGTACCCATAAACCAAACCACCTAAAATTAAATAGATTAAAGAATGAGCTGGATAAAGAGTCTACTTGCTTTAAGGGGTCTTTTCATTAATTCTCTACAACTGAATTTTTATAATCTACATTTGATGTATTTCTCCACAGGCCACAAGCGTCAGAATCTGTTTACCCAATTCTATTATTTAGCATAACTTTCACAAGAGAATTTAAAGTCTGTTGTGTAACAATAGACTTTACATTAGAATCTGCTATACAGCCTATCATGAGGGATACATTTCTAATTACTGCCTCTTTTATTCTAAACCACGGAAAACGGACCTAACAAATGATGTCCTTCTAGAAGAGTGAAAACCTCCTGGCAATGTTCTATTTAACCCATGATGTGGGCTAAGAGGAGTTTTGACTAATTACGAGGCAATATATGTACCATTAAAGCTTCTCACCTATGTTGGGCCTTCATCTTTTATCCATCAAAGTATAAAGTTATTCATGTATAAGTCTGGCTGCAAAATCCTTCACGAATGAAAGTATACCCTATAAGTGCACATAATAGACCCCCTCTTCATTTCTATTGGCTATAGAGGCATAAATAAGGAAAAAATATTCAAAGATAAGAGTCTCATAGTAGTAGATGTCTTGATCCGTGATCTCGGGAAAAGCTGTTTACATCAAGGATGTCTTCTTCTTCTGGGGAGAAACTTTCTTGGTTAGTTTTACCTTAAGGGTTCCAATGGGTGTACAGTTCCAAGAGTGTGGAGGGACCCTTCTCAGTTGTGAGATTATGCACTCAAGGTTCAAGGTTCCAAAGTTTTGTTGCAGTGTGGATGGCAAGCACAGTGTTTCTCTGATGTTCTCAAAAGATCCAATCTTCAGGTTCTAGATTGTGAAGCAGCTGATGGTCCTCAATGAACCATAAAAACTTTCTTTACCTGGTGAAAATATACTGTGGCATAATAATTACTGTAACATAAAACATGCATTGAAAATGACAATTGAATGAACTCCCTTTATAAATGTTTAAATGACCCATCGGATAGCCAAACGTACCTGAAGGTTTGATTATCTTCCCAGGATTATGGAACCAAACACTGGTTTTAAACTATTTTTGAAATTTATAAGTCATTATATCAATATATTCAATTTTGGTGATTTTATTTTTTCCATGATGAGTCATGGAATGCAGAGCCTTTAATAACAAAAGCTTTAAGGGCTCAGGAAGGACAGGATAGCCTTCCTGGTCTTCCATGAGTCTATGTTTAATATTGGACTTATGTCCTGTTGAATACCAGTTGTTTTTCCAATTTAAATTCATAGCAGTGATAACTAATGGTTATCATAGGCAATTAGACTTAGACTATGGAGTTCAAATTGTATATCTAATCAATTTCAGTATCAGCTGGTTTAACATGAAAATCTTGGCAAAGTATTTTCTTGGTATTTAATTAATTTTTTGTTTTACTTGGGTTAGCAGTTTTATACACGGAAATTTGGTTATTTCTGTGGTAGACAATAACTTAACATAGTAACCATAATTATGGTTGATAGTATATACTCAGACATATTAGAATTTTAGAAATCTTATACATTTTTTTTTTTTTTTGAGATGGAGTCTTGCTCTGTCATCCAGGCTGGAGTGCAGAGGCAAGATCTTGCCTCACTGCAACCTCCGCCTCCTGGGTTCAAGTGATCTTCTGCCTCAGCCTCCCAAGTAGCTGGGATTACAGGTGCTCACCACCATGCCTAATTTTTTGTACCTTTAATAGAGACGGGGTTTCACTATGTTGGCCAGGCTGGTCTCAAACTCCTAGCTTCAGGTGATCTGCCTTCCTCGGTCTCCCAAAGTGTTGGGATTACAGGCATAAGCCACCATGCCTGGCCCCATACAATTTTAGAACATACATTAATATCATTCACTAAAATATAACCTGAAGATTAAACATTATTTTTATTTTGACAACGCTTCCCATGTAACTTAACATGTTAAATAATTCTGTTTACCTCTCTTTTGGATGCTTCAGGGGCCCTCTGTAGCATTCCAAAGTTAGAGGTCAGAAAAGACCATTTTAAAGCTGAATTTTGGGAAGCCTATTAAATATTGGGAAGCCTATTAAATATGTTAAAGTTGTAAGACACTTGATATTATGAACTAGAATTCCAGGTCACCATAAGTCATTCATTTAGCCAAAATGATGACTCGAAAAATTTTTAAAAGGCAAAAACTTTTACTCATTGATAGAGGGAAGACTTAGCTTTCCAAACAATCTGTTTTTTGTCTTTCCTTTTTTTTTTTTTTTTTTGGTAGCGTATTTAAAAGGCAAACAAAACAAAAATTTTTCATTATCTTCTAATATTACATGAAAATCTTGTTCAAAAGAGAAAGTCAAATTTCATTAGTGGACTATTAATGTCAACCCCAATTTTTAATAAAACCTCACAGACAAATCTATCCAATCTTAATCAGTTTGACCATAAGGTGAGATTTTCATAAACCTTTTATAACACTTTACCAATTTTTGTTAAAGAGCAGATTAGTGCTTTAAGAAAAACCTGTTGTGCTTTTATTTCAATATTCAATTTACAGAAAAACTGAACAATACACCTTTAAATTTAGTCAATATTTTCACACATAGAATTTCTTTTACAAAGTTAATTTTTACAAACCTTCCACAACTTGTTCAAACTTTTAGCTTTATTCTATTTAATTTAAAACAGTCCTTTAACCCTCTAAACTAGGTAAAAATTTACATTCTCATGCATTCTTACAATCTCTTACCAAAAACACGTTTCATTCTCCTCATACACCTTGCACGTAAACCTAGTTTTTCAGTAGTCTCAGTTACATGTTATAATGGTAATTCTTAGCAACTTTCACTTTGGGTACATAAATTTTCTTTTATGAATCCTTTCATGACTTACATAGACCATCTACAATGTGCTTGGTCTTTCTGACTTGTCCTAAACATCCCTCTTTTTAAACAACCAGTCATTTTACTTTAGGACAAGAATTTACTATACAAGATCCTTCCTTATATAAAATCTCTTTTCTTTATAACCTTCTTTTCATAGCTAGGTGGCATGGCTAATTCCACATATCCCCAGGCCTTATTTAAAATTTAATGTCTCCAAAATAAATTGAGCAATTTTCAAGGGTCAAAGCAGTTTATGGCCTTAAAAATCTTAAGCAAACCTAATACCTGGCCTGCATAATTTAGACTAAATGTATTTATTTATCAATAATCTTTAGAGCTGTTTTTATTTCCCAAAGATGACCAAAATTACATGAACCAAAAGGCATTAAAGTTTTTATTTTTCTTTCAAAATATTTAAGCACTTTTTTTGTTTAAACCAATTAGAGTTCTTTTATACAAACACTACACACACAACACACATATAACTACACAGACAGACCAAAGAAGATGACTACAGTAGTTGTAAGATTCTCCATTTGCCAGTTTTTAAGTTTCTTAATTAGATTACTGGCTTTAGGGTGGAGTTCTTGGAAGAACAGGGCCAAGAAAGGGTCTCTGGTGCCTCGTGTTTTTCCCAAGGAGTCCCAGGCTCTGAGAGCTTGAATATCCACTTTTAATTAAGCTGACTTTTAACCACAGCACTCTTTAATAAAGTCCTTTTAAAATTTCTTATTACCCGACTTTACGCAGGCCAAAGAGCTGATATTTCTGGCTTTTAAACTTTACCCAAGGTAACCTCAGAGGTGCTCTGAGAAAGGAAAATTCAAAACAGTTCGTGGAGGGGAAGAGAATCAAAAAATGGCAAAGGTCACCCAAATATCAATCAGAAAGGCTCATCGCCTAAGCTAGGGATTGAATTCTGAACCTGGGCCACCATTGTGAAAAGAGAAAGCATGGCCACGTGGCTATAAGATCAAGCTCCTAAACACGTAACTGACCAGTTTGCTGGGTCGTCTTGAACAACAGGCTTATGAGGTTTTGGGCACACATTTTATCCTAAGGTACCCCTCTTTATGACAAAACAATACAGAAAGACACACAAAGCACATCAGATTCACTAGAGCTTAAGACAAGCCTCAAAATTCTTTTTTGTATGAATCAAAACTTTACATAGGAGATAACAGTGATTTTTACCATTCATTTAAACATTTTGCACAAAGAAAAAGAGGGAAAAAGCCAGAAATCTGACTGGTAAGAAATTCTTACCCTTTTACTGGCATGCTAGGCTTCTGGGCTCTCTTTCCCTTTCCCTGAGCAGCTCTAGTGACCCAGCTTGCCACACCATCGCCCTGGGGGCCAAGCTGCATCATAAAAGAAAATGATCTTTTTTCGTTTTGGCCAGAACAAAACACATATGATAAAACACAGACATTAGCCACTCTGTTTAGCACCCAATATCAAACTGGTTAGGCTTAAATTTGCCCTCCGATGGCCCCTGTCATCTTCAATCCAACCTCCAACTAGGAGTTTCAGCACATGGTCTCTGGGCAAGATGGCTGCCCTGAGTAACAGAAAAGATACGAAAGGAAAGGAAGAGAAAGAAAAGTATTGCCTGTGGCAAGATGGGAAAAGTGAAGAGCTCAGGGAGGCGAGAGCAAGACCCATTCATTGCAGTGACACTGAAAAGTTCAGGAGGCCACTTGTCAGTAGTGAAGGGATCTTTTCCAGCAATCCCATCAGCTCTCAAGATTCCCCTTTTGGAGAGGAAAAAGCTTCCCATGTCCCATGGTCCTGTACATGCCTAATACTGTCACCTATAGCAGTCAGCAAAAAGTATAAGACAGATTAATCAAAAGAGAATAGCAGTTAACATCCCATAGCGCCAAACTTGTTCTTAACTGAAAGAGACTTTACTGAGAGCCCTTATTTTTAAACATACTTAATTGCATTGTTGTACATTTGGAACATTCCACTGTAAGTTATCTATAGTAAGATTTTGCCATTTCTGTAAGACTATGCTGCCTCCCAGGCCTAATGTAAGCTGGAAGGAACTTAGTTTTCTGGAAAATAAGGATCTCATTTTTACTTAAAATATTGGCTTGACTCTCAGGGTCTCTTGATTAACTGAGCCAATGATTTTTCCTACCTAAGCATGCAAGAAAAATGAAACAAAGGGGTAGAACATAAAAATCCCTGTGAATTTTCAAAAGTCAAGTTTTATAATCCTGCAATATTACTGCTTACTATCAGTTCCTTTCTGAACCAGTCAGGTGTAAGAGACCTCTAACTGGATCCAAGCCAATTAATTCCCAGATCAAATCCATTCCTGGACCCAGCTCAGTTTCTGTCATGACTTCCAAACCCTGTTTGGATCAGAAATTGGCTCAAAGAAACTTGGAGAGCTCAAAACACAAATCTGTGGAGCTCTGAAATCCAAGAGAGAGCTTATCCACAAGCCCCAGCTGCTCTGAGAGATCAGTGAACACAAGTGGGTCCTGCAGGTACCTTGCTTGTTCAGTTCAATCAGCACTCCTGGGGGTTGCCAGAAGCTCTACTTCAGATCCCACTTCTGACACTATCTGATTAAAGAAAAACTTTAGCCAAATAAAATTTAATGGAGTTTAATTGAACAACGAAAAATTCACAAGTCAGGTAGTCCCCAGAATCACAGCAGATTCACAGAGACTCCAGCACAGCCACCTCGTGGAAGATTTATAGACCAAAAAGGAGAAATGATGTACAGAAATCGGAAGTAAGGTACAGAACAGCTAGATTGGTTACAGACTGATGTTTGCCTTGTTTGAACACAGTCTGAACACTCAGCGGTGTATGAATGGTTTAAGTATGGTTGCTGGGATTGGCCAAGTCTCAGCTATAGTTATAGGTACATACTCCTAGTTAGGTTTTCAATCTTGTCTACCTATTAAGCTAGGTTGCAGTTCTTCCACAAGAACTCAAATACAGAAGTACAGAGTCCTTCTCAGGACATATTTAGATCACTTTAACAGCACATATAGGCAGTCCTCACTGTGCAGAACTGTGCAATGTAAGACTGAAAAACCCTGCAATTAAGCAATCAGTAATTAATGGGAAGAATTATAGTTATTCATGACCTTTGAAGTTTTCTGTTAAAACATTAAAAATCATTTTACTGCCAGTTACAATGGTATGGAAAACTACATAGGAAAGGCATATGAAAAAAAAGTAAAACCAATATTCATTTAGTATACTATACATTTTCTTTAAGAGATGAGGTCTCACTATGTTGCCCAGGTTGGTTTCAAACTCCTGGCCTCAAGCAATTATCCTACCTCAGCCTCCTAAGTACATGGGGGTACAAGTGCATGCCACTGTGCCTGGCTTTAGAGTATATACTTTAAAATATCAAAAACATTGAGGATGAAAGTGTTTTGCTTCTTTGTAGAAAAAAACTTTTCATTTTTCTCTGTGGGTGGAGGAGAAATGAATTAATCTAGATCCAACCTAGGTTGAGCCCTCTAACAAGCAACCCTAGGACACCTGGAGATTCACATTTTCATGTCTAACCTTAACAAATATTTCCTTCATTGCTTTTGCAAAGTCCTATCTCATTTCTATTATTTCCAACTTATTATATGAAGTGGGCACCTTTTCTATGCCTTGGCAAACTGTCATAACTCTAAGTTTGGATCAGCTTTTAATATTTTAACTTCTGCATTTTCAACACAATGAAATAGATCTAACAATTCCCTTTTGTTTTTGTTTTTTTTTGAGACGGAGTTTCATTCTTGTCACCCAGGCTGGAGTGCAGTGGCGCGATCTCAGCTCACTGCAACCTTTTCCTCCTGGGTTCAAGTGATTCTCCTGGCTCACCCTCCCGAGTAGCTGGGATTACAGGTGCCCGCCATCACGCCCAGCTAGTTTTTGTATTTTTGGTAGAGACAGGATTTCACCACGTTGGCCAGGCTGGTCTCGAGCTCCTGACCTCAGGTGATCCGCCTGCCTCAGCTTCCCAAAGTGGGATTACAGGCATGAACCAACACACCCAGCCAACAATTCCTTTTCTAATAAAACTTTAGGTTTGAAGTAGCTATGATGTCTCTTGACATTCTCTGCAGTTTTTGTTTGTTTGTTTTCTGAGATGGAATATTGCTCTTGTCGCCCAGGCTGGAGCGCAGTGGTGCAATCTTGGCTCATTGCAACCTCCACCTCCTAGGTTCAAGTGATTCTCCTGCCTCAGCCTCCTGAGTAGCTGGGATTACAGGTGCCCACCACCATGCACAGCTAATTTTTGTACTTTTAGTAGACACGGCGTTTCGCCATGTTGGCCAGGCTGGTCTCAAACTCCTGACCTCAGGTGATCCACCCGCCTCGGCCTCCCAAAGTGCTGCAATTAGAGGTGTGAGCCACCACACCCGGCCAGAATTATCTGCAGTTTTTAAATGATTCCCTATGGGCTTCTAGCTGGACACTGGACACTGGACAGTTGGCCTGACTTTATATAAGGTCCTTGTCATAATATTGACGATAGGGTTTACCACTCTAAATCAGTGGCTTTCAAAAACTAGTATATTTTAGCAATGGCTGTCAAGCTTTTTTCAAGCAAAATCATACTGAAACCAAAACTATTTTGGAGTACAGGGGTAGGCATACAGGACCCAGAATCCTGTCCCCTAGGCCTCTCCCTCAGCTCCTGAGGTTGTCCCCAAACAGTTCCAAAAACATAGTAATTTGCAGATATCTGCACTCCATAGTAGATTGAAAGTCTGTGGTTAATAAAGTGCAGTAAAAACACCCACACACCATGATGCAGATCAACTAGGATGGGACACATGGGATCTGCCCAATGTACTGGTGCCTCAGAATCATCTCAGCCCTCTAATTGTTTCTCTGTTGTTTCCAGTGTTACTCACCACCCATCCTTCTAAACAGATACCTCAAATTGTTTCTGACTCTCAGCCCCCACCTTGAACATGGCTTTGATTCCACTTTTCAACATCCAACTTCAATAGCAACTCCCAAGACCCGCCTGGGCCTACCAAACTACAGCCCTGTAATCAAGAGGTATCACGCACGGGCCAAGCGCAGTGGCTCACACCTGTAATCCTAGCACTTTGGGAGGCTGAGACAGGTGGATTGCCTGAGGTCAGGAGTTCGAGACCAGCCTGGGCAACATGGTGAAACCCTGTTTCTACTAAAATACAAAAAAATTATATTTTAGTGGCGAGGCAGCATGCATCTGTAATCCCAGCTACTCGGAGGGCTGAGACAGGAGAATCGCTTGAACCCGGGAGGCGGAGGTTGCAGTGAGCTGGGATCGCGCCATTGCACTCCAGCCCAGGCATTCAGAGCAAGACTCCGACTGGGGAAAAAAAAAAAAAAGAGGTATCACACATGGTTCCACACATATCTAATGTGTGCTAGTATTTCTCTCTTCACGTTCCTTTTGCTCTGTTAGCCTCCCTTAAATGAGCTTTGTTCTAAAGTCTTCATGTCCTGAATTACTTCCTTGCCCTCTTTACAAGATCAAAACCAGTTGCTGGCACTAGTTTTCAGTAACAATGAGATCTGGCTTTTAAGTTGAATGTCATTAATGTTTTGGTCATGTCATTATAAGCATGATTCCCTATAACCTAATCTGAGAAGACAGACAGCAGAGAGAATGGGCGGTGGAATGGAACACAGAAGGAAGCAGATTAGAAAGGAAAGAAAACATCCTCTTGTAAAGCTTTCCATAATGCTATTTTTATCTTTATAAAGATGCATGGGAGAAGGAGAAAGAGGAAAAGGGGAAAACTTAATGGAAAGATTGTATCAGAAAGAGAAGGAACAAATGCCTTTGTAAATACTTTCTGGAAATTTGGGAAGGTTACTATGGGTGTGGTTTTACATGCGTTTGTGTATGTGTGTGGCTATTCCTTCACTTTTCTCGGTGCCCCCAATACCAAAAACAGTCTGACCTCACACCTCCCATAAAATACATTTGGAAAATTCCATCAAAGTTTAAAATATATATTTGCATATTCTTGGTTAGTAATAATTACCAGCTGATCATCCAATTCAAAAAGTTGTTCCAGGTAAGTTTCAGACAATCTTCGAATGTTTGGTTTCATTGATGGAGCAATGCACATATCCCTTTAATAACATCATAAAACACAGTCAAAATTAATTTCATTAATTAGTTCCATAATTAAATCAGTGATTCTTGTAGGTGGAATGAAAGAGAGGAGAAAGAAAACACATTTCCCCTTAGGAGAAGCAGATCAGAATCACCTGGAGGACTTTTTCAAACTACTCTCACAAGATTTTGCTGTGTCCCCCAAAGGAGGATATGCCTCCCTTTCCTCATTCCCAACTTGAAACAAACTGGCCCTATGAACACGTTACTGATGAGAATACACGATATTTCTCAAGTTGAGAACCACTGGGCAAATTATTCAGGTTTGTGTCTTTGGAACTGAAAAGCCTGTGGAAGGATTCCTTAACAATCTTAAGATTGGAAGCATTCATTGGCAAGACCTTATTTTGTTACTGTACAATAAAAGTTTTCCTTCACAAAAAAATATTTCCCTATCACGAATCAAAACAATACTTACCAAAGAAGATTCTGAAGACCACTTTTGATTATAACCATGATCATTCCCTCTAAATATCTCAGTGGATCCTCAGGACATGTAACAAGTATACCACATAACAGTGCCTGGGGAAAAAAAGGGAAATGGCATCAATGTGTCTGAATTTTCATGTTTTTACTAAGCAGCAGATAACTTTTTATTGCTCAGTTTGTTTTGGGCTTTTTTGTTTTTTAATTATTTATTTCCATAGGTTTGTGGGGAACAGGTGGTATTTGGTTTCATGAGTAAGTTCTTTAGTGGTGATTTGTGAGATTCTGGTGCACCTATCACCTGAGCAGTATACACTGAACCCAATTTGTAGTCTTTTATCCCTCAACCCCCTCCCACCCTTTCCCCTGAGTCCCCAAAGTCCATTGTATCATTCTATGTCTTTGCATCCTCATAGTTTAGCTCCCATTTATGAGTGAGAACATACAATGTTTGGTTTTCCATTCCTGAGTTACTTCACTTAGAATAATAGTCTCCAGTTCCATCACAGGTTGCTGCGAATGCCATTAATTCATTCCTTTTTATGGCTGACTCGTATTGCATCATATATATATGATGTAATATATATCTCTCTCTCACAATTTCTTTATCCAATCATTGATTGATGGGCATTTGGGCTGTTTCCATATTTTTGCAATTGTGAATTGTGCTGTTATAAATGTATGTGCAAGTATCTTTTTCGTATAATAACTTCTTTTCCTCTGGGTAGATACTCAGTCGTGGGATTGCTATCCCACTACTGATCAAATGGTAGTTCTACTTTTAGTTCTTTAAAGTTCTTTAAGGACTCTCTACACTGTTTTCCATAATGGTTGTACTAGTTTACTTTTTTTTTTTTTTTTCCGAGCAGAGTCTCACTGTTGTCGCCCAGGTTGGAGTGCGATGGTGCGATCTTGGTTCACTGCAACCTCTGCCTTCCAGGTTCAAGTGACTCTCCTGTCTCAGCCTGCTGAGGAGCTGGGATTACAGGTGCCTGCCACCACACCTGGCTGGCTATTTTTTCTATTTTTAGTAGAGACAGGGTTTCACCATGTTGGCCAAACTGGTCTTGAACTCCTGACCTCATGTGATTCGCCTGCCTCAGCCTCTGAAAGTGCTGGGATTACAGGCGTGATCCACCATGCCCAGCCCACTTTACATTTTCTTTTTTTCTTTTTTTTTGTTTTGAGACGGAGTCTTGCTCTGTGCCCCAGGCTGGAGTGCAGTGGCGCGATCTTGGTTCACTGCAAGCTCCGCCCCCCGGGTTCATGCCATTCTCCTGCCTCAGCCTCCCAAGTAGCTGGGACTACAGGCGCCCGCCACCACGCCCGGCTAGTTTTTTGTACTTTTTTAGTAGAGATGGGGTTTCATGGTGTTAGCCAGGATGGTCTCGATCTCCTGACCTTGTGATCCGTCCGCCTCGGCCTCCCAAAGTGCTGGGATTACAGGCTTGAGCCACCGCGCCCGGCCATACATTTTCACCAGCAGTGTAGAAGTGTTCCCTTTTCACTGCATTCACATCAACATCTGTTGGGTTTTTTGGTTTGTTTTGTTTTTTGATTATGGCCATTCTTGCAGGTGTAAGGTGGTATTACATTGTAGTTTTGATTTGCATTTCCCTGATCATTAGTGATGCTGAGCATTTTTTCATGTTTGCTGGCCATCTGTATATCTCCTTTTGAG